CAAGTGCGGAAAGTGGTACTTTTCCGCACGAGACGGCAGTTGCACGAACGACGCGGAGCGGAGTTCGGGCAAGCCGTCGAGGGTGGAAAAGACATTTTCCGCAAGAGTTAGGTACAATATTTTTCTTAGGAGTGCTTTTGTCCATCTTATTTATCAAAAAAATGTTCCAATACGCAAAGATTTTATAATGATGGTACAAAATAGCACATAATATAAAATAATATATAACATAAATCATTTATTTGATCCTAAATATCTTTATTTTTAGCATTAAAAAAATCGTGCGGAAAAGTAACTTTTCAGCACGATTTTACTTTTCCGCACGATTTTTTTATACACAAAAAAATAATGGAACCGAATTTTTTTATCATGATCCTTGGCCTATAACTAAATTGGCCAAAAAATTGTTAGGATTTCCTACCTTCGCGGGGCTATGCCACCCAAAATAGGGGGCTGTGCCCCCAAATAAGGGGTTCCCCCCCACAAATAAGGGGCTCCGCCCCCCAAATAAGGGACTCCGCCCACCAAATAAGGGACTCCGCCCCCCAAATAAGGAGCACCCAGTGCTTCGCCCCCCAAAAAGGGGCCCCGCGGGACTGTGCCCCTCAAAAATGGGGCCCCCACGGGACTGTGCCCCTCAAAATGGGGCCGCCGCGGGACTATGCCCCCGAAATAGGGAGCCACCGCGGGGCTCCGCCCCCCAAATAGGGGGCCCCCGAACTTTAATATGGGTACACTTTTCAGTAAAAGTAACAATCGTGCGGAAAAGTAAAAAAATAGTGCGGAAAAGTAAAATCGTGCGGAAAAGTACAACTTTCAAAACGAAAAACCGTGCGGAAATAGTTATTTTCCTAACAAGTGCGGAAAGTGATACTTTCCCGCACGCGACTGCCGTTGACCCGAACGACGCGAAGCGAACTTCGGGCAAGCAGTCGAGTGCGGGAAAGACACTTTCCGCATGAGTTAGGAACATTATTTTTTCTACGAGCGCGTTCAAATATAAAAACAAAAACTAAGTAAATTCAAAGCGATATATTATTAAAGAAATCGTTTAATTACAAAATTACTTATTTTTATATTTTTACGTTTACTTTCAAGAATGATTGGAAAAAATTATGTACTAAATCGATTTGATGTTACAATAAACAAAATTTATAAGGTAAAAAAACTGCCCCGCCTCAAAGGAACCAAAAAGTCAAACAATGTCAGAAAAAAATTATAAAATTTTTGAAATATTCACAAATTAGATTAATATGGATTAAAATAGGAATATTTCAAATAGTTTATGAGCGCATAAATTATTATATCTAGCAAAAATGTATGCAGACAAAATAGATAAAATGTTTGATTAATTAACAAAAGTGACACTTCTCCTGAACGCCACTTTCCCGCACTAGTGCGGGAAAATAATTTGCCTGCACTAGTGCGGGAAAAACAAAATCGCGCACTAGTGCGGGAAAGTAACATTTTCGGAACTAAAATGCGTGCGGGAAAGTGATAAAAAATGCACGCTCGTAGAAAAAGTAACTTTTCCGCACGCTCGTAGGAAAAATCGGTTTTCCTCTAAAATTAACCGTTTAGGTTTTACATCCTGTCAAAGTTGCAAAAAGTTAATTTTCAACTGTCAATATTTCCGAAATCGTTGAAGATAGGTATATGACATTGTACAGGGTATTTGATTATATTTGGCACCATACCTACAGCCTTTACTATTTAAGATAGAAGAAAATTATAAATACAAAACTTGACAGTTTTTTTCTATATTTTCTCCTAACGTTATCAGAAAAAACAAAATCGCATCGAAAAATGGAGAAACGCAGACAACTTCGACTTTTTTAAATGGAACACCCTGTATATTTTGCGATAAAATGAAAGACCTTTTCTTCCTGATTACAAATATATATATGTTGACCACATTTGCGTCAGCCATTTTTGACATATCTTAGCTTAAATTATAACTAAATTACAAAGAAATTTTATAAAGATAGAGATCCTTCTGGAACTTCTCTGCAAATTATTTATAATTCAACCTGAGATATGTCAAAAATTGTTCAAGCAAATGTTATCAATATACAGGGTGTCCCACAATCAACGTTACAGGCCATAACTTTCTTATTTTCAAAAATAAAAATTTGAAACAAAAAAAATTATTAATGGCTAATTAAGCTCTCTTCAAAAATATTAAAAAATCATCCCTTGAAAAAATCATCCCTTGAAAAAATCATCCCCTATTTACAACCCTTGCCTTTTTTTTTCAAATGGCACCCCTATTATTTTTTTTTTATTTTTGAGAAGCTTATGAAATTGAAACTACAAATTTGTATGGTCTATAAAAAGTTTGTTTTTCAATGTCTCTTGGGGGAAAAAAAATGGGTGTCCCACCCTTGGTCTTATACAGGCAATTACATTTTTGTCTACAAAAATAAAAATATGACAAAAAAAAATTAATTGTGTGCAAATTAACCCCTTTTCAAGAATATTTAAAAAATCTCCCCTAACAAACTCATCCCCTAAAAACAACTCTTGCCTTTTTTTTCAAATAGAACCCCATTATTATTATTTTCATTTTTGATTTTTTTTTTCCAACGAAACATGGAAAAACAAACTTTTCATACATCATTGAATTTGCATTTTCATGAACTTCTCAAAAAAAGAAAAAAAAATTAGGGGTGCCATTTGAAAAAAAAAGTGAAGGGTTGTAAATAGGGGATGATTTTGTCAGGGGAAGATTTTTTTATATTTTTGAAGAGAGCCTCATCAACCATTAGTCATTTTTTTTTTTCAAATTTTTATTTCTAAAAATAAGAAAGTTATGGCCTGTAACGCTGATTGTGGGACACCCTGTATACAGGGTGTCCCACGGTGGATGGCGTATTAGACGTTTATGGAGAACTAAAAAGCGGATCATTTTGAAAATTTGGCAACCGGGATAAACGACCATGATCTACACTTTAAAAATATTTTTGACCATGCGGTGTTGCCGCTTCTACTCTAAACTAGTGGCAACATCACGATTTTAAATGGAACACCCCGTATTAAATTGCATATTTGGATTCCACGTAAAATTCTAAGCAGATTTCATGTGATATACCCTATACCTAAGTTCAACTGTTTTGGAAATATTGACAGTTGAAAATTGACTTTTTGCAACTTTGACAGGCTGTAGAACCTGAACGGTTAATTTTAGAGGAAAACCGATTTTACATTCCTATCTTAGATTTTCATAAACTATCATTTGACACCAACTTAGAATTAAATCCATGATTAAAAATTTCAGTTAAATTTAATCTCTGGTTAAGTTCAAAGTTGGTGTTAAATGATAGTTTATCAAAATCTAAGGTAGGAATGTGAAATCGGTTTTCCTCTAAAATTAACCAATTAGGTTTTACAGCCTGTCAAAGTTGCAAAAAGTCAATTTTCAACTGTCAATATTTCCAAAACAGTTGAACTTAGGTATAGGGTATATCACATGAAATCTGCTCAGAATTTTACGTAGAATCCAAATATGCAATTAAATACGGGGTGTTCCATTTAAAATAGTGATGTTGCGACTAGTTTAGAGTAGAAGCGGCAACACCGCATTGTCAAAAATATTTTTAAATTGTAGATCATGGTCGTTTATCCCGGTTGCCAAATTTTCAAAATGATTCGCTTTTTAGTTCTCCATAAACGTCTAATACGCCATCCACCGTGGGACACCCTGTATATATATTTGGAATCAGAAAGAATAGATCTTTCATTTTATCGCATAATATACAGGGTGTTCCATTAAAAAAAGTCTAAATTGCTTACGTTTCTCCATTTTCCGATGCGATTTTGTTTTTTCTGATAACGTTATCAGAAAATATAGACAAAAACTGATTTTTTTGTCTCCATAGGTATACAGGGTGCGTCAAAAAGGTCATGTTTTTAAATGGAACGCCCTGTATATTTTTACATTTTTGAAATTCTTAGAAAATTAGCTTCACAAACATATCAAATATTATTTGGATAACAAAAATATACAGGGCATTCCATTTTAAAAAAAATACCTTTTTGCCGCACCCTGTAAACCTATGACGACAAAAAATATCATTGTAGCACTTAAGGTTGCAATTTACCAAGAAATTTTCCAGTTTAAACATGCCCTTTATTTTCAATAATATGAGAAAGTAACTGAGTGTTCCAGTTATAAACAAACACCTAGTACTACATAAAATATGTCTAGAATTTTCCACAGAATCCAGAAATGTCATAATATACAGCGGGAGTCATTTGAAAAAATATAACTTTGTATCACTACTACTCATTGGGCCACCCTGTATACTAGAAAATAATTTAGGAATGTAGTACTCATGTTTATTTACAAGTTTTGTATTTAGTTTTTTCTTCGATCTCCGTTAGTATAGGAGATATGGACCACCGCGTACTTAGTAACTCACCCTGTATATATATATTTTTTTAATGTAGATTTCAGAGTCACTTAGAATTAATTAAACACTGTTTGATCAAAAATTTTATTTAGTTGTTTTTTTTTGGTATCACCTGGGTTCCGACTTGATTGAGTTATTTTGGTATGTTAATTTTTTTTTAGGATTATCATCTGAAGAACTTAATTACCTATCTTTATTATCTAATTTTATTTTTAGAATGTTTTTCTGAATTTTAGCATTTTGATATTCCATCTAATTCTAATAATTTTTTTTTTTTATACATAAAATTCAATGGCGTCCAAATCAGGCTGTATACACAATTGACCCACACCTAATTATCTGCTGAGCTAACTGAGCATATTATGGATCCATAGTTGATTCATTAACAAAAGGCGTTACAACCCACGAACTGATCACTCTTTCACTGAGACACTGGGTCAGGTCATGAAATCCGAACTGAACCGAAATAAACAACGATCAAGAGTGCACGAATCGTTATTTTTTTAAAAAATTTTAACACAGAACGCACACATTACCCCACACTCCAACTAGATATCGATATGTTAGGCTAGTAAATAAATCAATTACCTAATTCCTTTTCCATTTTTTCCACCTCTTTCTTCTTCAAAGTTTTTAGTGACTCGTGCTCTTCCAAAATCTTCATAGCTTTGTCAATTTCTTCCCTTTGCCTCGCCTCTTTGACTTTTGCTGTTTTCAAGTTGCTTTCTTGCTCAGCTACTATCCTCTCCCAGCGACTTACGTTGGTGTGAGTGTCGCGATCAGTTTCAAATTCGATATTGCTGCGAATGCGATCGATTTGCATTTGGCATTCGATACATTTTTGTTTTCTTGCTTGATGGTGGCGTAACTCGCGGCCTTCGTATTGTCTGATGTTCTCTACTGCAATTTCCTTGCAAAAATCTGAGAAAACCTGATCTTCTACTTTTTTCATTTTTGTTTCGATATTTTCGATGTGCATCTCTCGTTTTTGCATATCTTGTTCGGTAGCTTCAATTTTAAGATCATATTTTCGAATCTCTCTAGCTAGATTCTCAATTTCATTTTCAAGTTTTTCAATTTGTGTTTGCTGCAACAACAACAAAAATTAAACGTTTTTAGAGGGTATGCAAATCGCGGTTATTTGGAAGAATAATTTTTCAATGAATATTTAGACTTTAGATGAGATGCGGAAATATCGGATTCTAATCACGTTTTAGCCCTGAATAGGCAAGCATGAAGAATAATGAATCCTTAAAAATTATGTACTTACAGTTGTATTCATATCACCTTTGGCATAGCTCAACCTTCTTTCCAAACCATTCACGTGAGACTGCACAGTAATAATTTCAGATTCTTTTCGTGTTTTTCTCATGGCATCTCTCAGTTCATTGGCGAGCTTTTCTTTTTGTTCTTGAAGGCTGGCAAAGTGTTTTTCATCCCATCTTTTAGCTTTACGAGCCAAATCCACAGTTCCTCCAGAAATAATTCCCGATTTTTGATAAAAAGTTCCATCAAGAGCGACTGCATTAAATCGACTTCCCAGTTCATATGCTACTTTATTGGCATCTTCTGGAGATTCGCATACTACGACATTATTGGTAGCGAACAAAACTGCATTTTTTATGTCGTGCGGTTCATATTGTAAAACGTCATACAGAAGTTTCACTCCCTTGGGTTCAGTAATATTACGCACATGATCTCGAATTGACGGTTTTATCAGCAAATAGTCCAATGGAAGGAATGTTTCTGGGTCCAACATTTGATCTTTTAAATATTGTATGCACCGACGTGCGGTACGTTCAGTATCCACTACAATAGCCTCCATATGTTTGCCCAAGACTTTGGTAATGGCCATATTGTAATGTGAGTAAGTGGGTTGACACATGTCGATCATGCGCCCATAAACCCCAGGATAATATGCCTTGAAATGATTGACGATTTCTTGCTTCTTTTTTTTTCTTCTATCGTCGTGTTCGTCAGTTTTAGCGTTACCTAATTGCTCTAAGACTTCATCTAGCTGCTTCTGAACCTCATCAACTTTATTTTTAGACGATCCTACATCTTGCTGAAGGTCTCTTAGTAATTTATTTTGATCATGCAAAGCTTGCTCGCTGGTGTGAATATGTTCCGCTAATTTATTCATCCTCTTGACCATTTCTTCTTTTTCGTGAGTTTTTTGCGAATGCTTATTCTCACCTTCTCTTCTCAATCTAGATATATTGTCTAGTGTATCCTGATCGGCTTTTTGGTCTCTACTGATAGACCCTAGCTCTTGCATATACATAGCTGTACGCCTAGTTGCTTCTTCTTTCAGTTTATGATATTGCCGGATTTGGGCTTCTTCTAAATGGATATCTATGCCCTAAAATTATAGAGACGTTCTAGTTTCAAAAAAAACTTTAAATGAAAACCTAACTAACCTAACTTTGAGATTCAGCGGCTAGCTGGTTGTCATACTCTTTTTGAGCTTCAACTAATTCTTCTTTGAGTTTCCGTATGTCTTTATTTTTGGCATCTTCAGTCTTTTTTGCTTCATTCAAAGTCTTGTAAGCTCCGTCAACTTTTTTTTGAAAATAAGCTACTTCTTCCTTTGCTTTCATAAACATGGGCTTCTTTTTATAAACTTCTACTTGGGCCTCACGAATATCCTGCTCAATTTTTGCCATATCTCTGAAAAATAAATAGGAAATTAATTTCAATATAAATTTTAATTTGAAAAGCCTTGCTTGAAACTTACCTGTTTAGTATACCAACGTCCTTTTTTCTATCCTTCAAAATACCTTCAAACTTTTCCTTTGTTTTACTTTGTCTAATTCTGTTTGCTTAGATTTAAGCTCTTGCTTTCGGATTTTCATAAGTCGCTCAATGTGATATGCTTTAAATGATTGATGCAGTGGCGGCTCGTGACAATCCAAACTGGTGAGGCCCATGGCCCATCAAGTTAACCCAAACAAAATTTTCAAGTGTTACGCCCAAATTTTGACCCAAAATTTGATTAAAAGAACATCTCGGATATTTTTTTTTGTATATTTTTAATGAAAATTTTCATTTCTTACAGTTGCAAAACAACAGCAGTAGGTACATATTTCTTATTTTAATACAAATAGGTATTGAGTTTCAAATTAACAAAAATAAATTCAGTTTTTTAACCCGCAACAGACCAAAATAAAAAGTATGAGCCAAATTAACCAATTAAATACTTGTCGCAGCAGCAAGAGATGCAAGGTTTCTTATTAACAAGCCCAAAATTGTGCGCCTCAATGCCTATGAAAATTCACTATCGTCTCACCTACAGTTGAAGGGTTGTGGTGGGGAGTGCCGTGGCATCGCTTCGGCGTTCTGTGATGCACATGAGGCCAAAATTTTTTGGATTATTTTATTTAAATGCTGTCCGGCAACGATTTGAGCGCCTATAAGGATAAATAGGTAGAAGCGCGCGCTAAATTCAAGAAATAGTATTATATTTTAATGAAAATTCGATGTTTTGATTCTTTCAATGATTGAAAATAGTTGAAAAACGTTAAATATTTAATGAATATTATTTCAAAATTTTACATCATTATTGTAATTTTTACATGTGAGGCCCGGCCTCAGTTGCTTTATACGACGAGCCGCCACTGGATTGATGTTCAACCAATTTTTTATTCTAAAATAATACAATGAATAATGCATACGTTTTTAATTATAAAATTGTACTCACTAAATCGTCTTTAATTTTAGAATACTTATCGGCCTCCTTTTTTTCTACCACAGCTTGTCTGCGTTCAGCATTTAAACGTTTTTTCTTTCGCATTGCCAAATTAAACGCTTCTTGAGCTTCTTGCATTTTTTTCCTTAGTTTCTCATATTCCTCTTTTAATGTTACTGATCTAGAAAAATGATGATATTAATTTTTCCAAATATTGATTTCATATTTTTATTGCAAGCCCACCCGCTTATCTCTTCTATAAGTGCCGTCATCTCCTTAGGATTTTTCATTGCAATTGAGTCAACGGCTCCTTGAAAAACCAAGAAATTTTCACTTTTCACATTGATTTTGAGTTTTTCCAACTCAGTCGAATACTCGTGGGCAGAAACGACCTGAAAATAAATATATTTTGTTGTTTTTTTATACCTACTCCAATGTTGGAGAGCCAGTTGAAATACAAGGGGTCTCAACGATCTTTGCTAAACTTATATTTTATTCAATTAGCTCCTCTCAAAGACAAACGTAGTCATTGCCAAGGTGCATCCGGTTAACGGGAACTACCCCTCAATGTGATCAATTCAAGACAATTTTAGGTAACTTTTTTCAATATTTTCCTTCCTGTACATTCAATTTAACACAGTGGCTTGGCTGGCGTATTTCCAATAAAAAAATAAGATCGTTATTATTAACTGTCAACCGCTTATGTTTTCATGTGCAGTGCATTTGATTATATAATTTCATGTAGCATGAACATCAAATATAATAAATACATAGTTGCCTAATAATACATACATACATACCGAATCATTAATTTTAAACACGGAGGAAGAGGCCTGGACAGATCTCTGAAATACCACTTCTTTTTCTGAATCGTCGCCTAAAGTGAACACGGCAGTTACTGATGCGCTAAAAATTTGAGAATTATTTTTGTATAATGTTCAAATTAGTAACATTTATCATGACTAACCTTTAGGAAGCAGGTCTGCCGATCACTGAACCGTGAATCAAGTCGCTCAATCGTTTTACTCTTAAGCTTTGCATTTTTTCTCCCATAACAAAACTGATGGCATCCATAAAATTGGATTTACCTAAAAAAGTTCAATTATAATGTAACTAAATTTACGTGCGCTTCCGACAGAATCGGATAGCAGAATTCTAGATTTTGACAGTGATTTTTGGAAAAAAGGTCTATCGCGATTATTCTGGATTTTGCAAGAATAAATTACGGATATATAAAAGCCGGTATAAGTTAGTAGTTTAAGTTTGGCTGTGATACGTTTTAGATAGTGATTATTGTAAAAGTTGTTTGAGTTAATGGGATACTTGCATAAATTTTTTTTATCGTTAATTTCGTTAGTTGATAAAAAATAATTCAACACGTGTTTTTTTCTTTTTCTTCTTAGTCAAAAATTGACGGAGATACAACGCTATGAAATATGCCTATGACGTCACTTATCATATAAATAAGTGACGTCGCACATGCTCAGTATATCTATACAGAGTGTCAATTTGAAAACTTCCCACCCGTATTATTTCGGAGTAGAAAAATTTTCAATAGTAATATAACTAGTGCAATGGAAATTACTGATAATTTTTGGGAAATTTGCCCGAATGCATTTTTAGTTGAAAACGCATGAGTGCAAATTTGTCGAAAATTATAAATATATTTCCATTGCACGAGTTGTATTTAATGAGAGAATTTCATAAATCAAAAATTTTAATTTTTTGTCAAAAAATGTCAAAACACCAGTTTTCGCACCAGTTAGTATACAATTATCTGATAATTTGCACTAGTGCAGTTAAAAACGCATGAGTGCAAAGGACGCCGCAATATTTAAATGGAAATTGGTTACCCGTAATATTTGGATGAAATTTAAATATGTTATTGGGGATGCTGTAAGCAACATTTTTAACCCTGAGCACAATCCTGTATATGACCGGTGAGGCGTGGTTAGCTGTCAAATATTGGAATCTTATATCCAAACGCAGAGTAATTATGGCAGATTTTGAAGAACAAAAAATCTATTTCTATTAAGTCGACCAAGTTAAGTCGAAAAATGTCAACCATTTTGACACCTGTCAAAACCCTGCCAAACGGCAGCACTCATCTTTTCCAGTTTTCAATATTTTATGATGACATTTGACATTTTTAACCTGTATGTAAATTCTGAATTCAAAAATTGAAAAAAAAATGAGAGAACTGTCAAAACCTGTCATTTGTTTTAGTAGAAAAAAATACTCTAATATGGTTCTTTCTCGTTTTAAGGTAGTTTATTGGTGATAAAACATTGAACAAAGTTCATGCACGTCACATTTTGACAGCTGTCAGAATCTACCAAAAGCTTTAATTCAAAAATGAATCAAATCTAGTTCTTTTCCAATTTAAGTTAGGCTTATTTATGATAACGCATGAAAAAACATTATACGCAGGTTTCAGATTTTGATAGAGATGTCAATTTACATTTTAAAGTATGTAGTTTCGGTATAAGGGATTTTATTTCATTAAAGTCATTATAGTACTCAGTACTATAATGAAATCATTAAAGTACTCAAACATTTTGACACTCACAAATGAAATCCACAATGATGTAATTTTTTTCAAATTTTAAATTCAGAATTTACATACAAGTTAAAAATGTCAAACGACATCATAAAATATTGAAAACTGGAAAAGATGAGTGCTGCTGTTTGGCAGGGTTTTGACAGGTGTCAAAATGGTTGACATTTTTCGACTAAACTTGGTCGACATTGTAGGAATAGATTTTTTGTTCATTAAAATCTGCCATATAGTTACTCTGCTTTTGGATATAAGATTCCAATATTTGACATCTAACTAATGTCTGCCCAGCGACTCTGTGTCTACGGGGCAACGGTAAGGGGAATGCAGTTGTAAAAAAAATGGCTGATTTCATTCATAAAATACCCAGCTGCGTGCGGAACTTTTTGGAAGTGTTATCGTATTGCAACTCGTACACGAAAATCAGCAATGACCAAATCTCCGCCACTGGATATTTCAATATAAATCGATATTCCAAGATGGGAGGATAAAATGACGTAAGCCCTCGCCAATAGTGAGACGTAAGGTGACGTTAGCTCATTGACAACCGTATGGTTCCCCATGGCAACGATGATCCTGCCAAAAACTCCACCAATCAGGTTCATCCAGGCCGGATGCTTGCCAAATTGTCAAAAGCTGATGGTATATTCAGAAAATGTTTTTTTTAAAAATAGATCAAATTGAAGAAATCAGGATTAAAATAAGGATAGATCTAACAACCACGTTAAAATATTTAGCGTTTCATTATTGTTATCAATTTTACCAACGATTGATCTAGCCGCACTGAAGATTTTATTTCATATAACCAACCTTTTGGATTTTATTGGCCTTCAGCTTAGAGCTTAAACAGGTATTAAAAGCCTGCAAATTTCCTAGGAAAATCCAGCTCTTCATAAGTTAAACCTATAATTTTTTAAAGCTTGAAACTAGAGGAAAAAACCATTGGGTTGGTTATACGACGTGGTAAAATCGCCAGTAGAAATAATTTCAGTTGCTGGAAAATAAATATTTGTGTGGTTACAATAAATACTTATTATTAGAACTATGTATACTGTAATAAAAAAAAATCAAGATGTTGGCCAAACGGCGTCAGCCAGATTGAGCTCAGTACCAACAAGAGGCCTTCCCGCGCATTTCCGTTGTCTATGAATGCAATCTCGGAAATGCGAAAAGAAAAGATGTAGATGGACACGCTTTGCCAGGATTGGTGAAACGGCGAAACGAAGAGCGACGAGAATAGCCGATCTAAAGTTTATAGACAAATGCTCTCCCGAATCAAATATGTTCTTTTCTATGGTAGTAAGGTACTTTGCCATTCTTGCAAAAAATAATTTAGAAATAATTTTTACCAGTAATAGCAAAGCACTTATTCATTTTAGAAAAATACATTTCTGGAGAAGCAAATAGATGCTTGGTAAAAAAGTTAATTTCTGGAATAAGAAATAAACTATTCTATTTCAAGAACGTATTATGCATTTTTAGTAAAGCTGTGACTGAAAAGTTAATTTTACTGGCCCAAAATAGCTATTTATACAATAAGTTACGAAATGAGCGTCTTTTAGGCACGCGACGTGAAAATTGTCCAACGAGGCAAAGCCGAGTTGGACAACACGTCGAGTGACTAAAAGACATCGTTTCGTAACGTATTGTATACAAGATTTTTTCTACTGGCATTTTATAATAAAAAAACACAATTTTATTTCATGTGAATAAGTCGATTACACCCAAAATCTTTGTTACCTGCTTTTACTTGACACCTGACACTTTTCATGCGATTTTCTTTTCAAAATTCGACATCAATAATTAAAATCCTAGAAAGTAGGTAATAACACAAACTTCTGTTTTGAGTAACCCAAACGTTCAATTCAGTAATTCCATTTTCAATATTCATAATAAATACAAAACAAAATTCAAATATGTGTTTAGTGTGTTTTTTATTTCTGAATAATGAATGACACTTTTACGCACTCATAAGTCACTTTTACGCATTCAAAAGTCACTTTTACGCACTGAGTGCCTAAAAGTAACTTTCACGCACTCAGTGCCTAAAAGAATGTCGTTTCAAAACTGAAATGACAATCGAAAAGTTGCTATTATGAAACGTCAGTAGAAAAAAGTATTTTTATAGGTACCGAGAAAATTCTGCCTGTCTTAGCCAAAAAAAGTTTAGGAAATAATTCATTGCTGGGAATTTTCTCAGTGCACTTTCGTCATATTTCACCTTAGCCGAAAACGTCACTTTCGTCACTAGTGATAAAATATCTAGTTATATAATGTGATAAAAGCAAAACATACAGAGTGGCAAAAAAGTAGTGCATATACAATCTCTGCTTTTTAGGACCTTCTTTCATACAAAACAAAAAGTTACAGGTATTATGCGCTACTTGTTTGCCACTCTATATAGCGTATAAATAATGATGTTTACTGTTGTTTTATCGTGAAGCATTCCCCTCCCTTATGCTTTTGGGCGTGACACCCGGAAAAAAAATTCCTCTGGATAAGAACAGTCCCGCTTTTTCATTTCATAGATCTGGCAACCCTGCTCTCAAAGTTGGTGTAATCTTTCCGTTATTCAAAAGTGGAAGTAAGGAACATATTGCAAACTATAGGCCAATTTCGCTGATATCAAATCTTGGGAAAATTTTTGAAAAGATCTTGAAATTAGGATGCTAGAGTTTTTAAAAAAATACAAGCTAATTTCTGAAGCTCAGTTTGGTTTCATGGAAGGTAGGTCGACGGAGGACGCAATTGCTAGGCTAACATCGCAACTATACAAAAATATTGATGAAAGTAGTCCTACATTGTGTGTTGTCGTCGACTTAGCCAAAGCTTTCGATACCGTTTCGCATCAGTTGTTATTGGATAAGATGCAAAAATACGGTTTAAGGGGAAAAATCTTTGAAATTATAAAAAGTTATCTGAGTGATAGAATTCAATACACCAGGGTCGACGATATAGTTAGCGATGCTGGTCGTGTTGGCTATGGCGTACCTCAGGGTACAGTGTTGGGTCCGGTTCTTTTCATCCTGTACATCAATGGGCTGCTGAGGATGGAGGGATACTGTCTTTTGCAGACGATACTGTCGTATTGTTTAAAGGTGAAACTTGGGATAGTGTCATAAGACAGGCTGAACGAGAGTTTGATAAAATAAAAAAGTGGTTCGACTATAACTTGCTCACAGTAAATTTCGATAAAACCAAATGTATGTTGTTTTCTAGCCAGGAGCAAGCTACAAAAAACATCCAGGGTATACTAGTCGATACCTTTTTAATACCCACCACAAAATCCATCAAATATTTGGGCATAATAATAGATTGTAACCTTCGTTGGGAATTACATATCAAGTATATTGTTCAGAAATTAAGAGGAATCTTGACAAAATTCAAATATTTGAAAAATTTCATGTCTACAAATCAACTCAAAATTCTGTACTGTGCATTAGTTCAAAGTCATTTAATTTATGGAATTATTGGCTGGGGCGGAGTCCTAAATACACACCTCAAAAACTTAAAGATCATACAAAAGTGGTTTCTG